AAGAACATTTGGTGCATTAATCTTTATGGTCGATATTTTTACTTCTTTAGTTTTTTATCAGCTTCTCTATTTGGACAACTGGCTACGAAATACTGGAACCTTATATTACCTGCTGTTTCTTCAACTGAGGTGTTTTTCACACTTTCTGATGCACCAACTGCTAATAAAACCTTAACATTTTACACATCTAAAATAAGATGACATGTTGCTGATCCAGGGTCTATGAACCTAAGACAAAAACATCAAATCAAAAGTGGCTACAGGAACATTTAGATCACCATGCAGGGGTGATGTTTGGATAAAGATGCACTCAGAAATTGAAGCTTACCTGTACTTATTTTTCTCGGAACACAGCAGAACTCTGTCAACTCCATTTTGTGTTAATAAGAGGAGCAGAAAATCAGTTTTTCTCTTTTTCTCTCAACATAAAACCTATTCTGACTAACTTTGTGCTCAGTTAATTACCGCTCATAAGTGATTTCTCAACAAGGAGGACAGGCAAACAGAAAAAGATGATTTGCATCCCACCTGTTGGGTGAAAGTGCTCACTCCATCAGTTTGTTAATGTGCATCATTTCATTAGATGACATATTTCCCAGCATTAGTATTCACCAGTCTGCTCTATTGCTGCTGGATGATTCCTTGCTCACTTATTTTTGGGAGCACTGACGAGAAACCCACATTGCACACTTTCACAGAGTAATTTGTCACAGTTTATTATCAGGCAAAACGATGCTGCCGGCTGAATGTTATAATCAGAGTGCTGAATGTTGTTTCTAAAAATGTTAAGATCCTTCAAAGCAAGATAAAAAGCAAAGACTGTGATCTTTAAAATGTATTTCTGGTTAAGATTCCCCAGCCTTGTACCAGAGGAACAATTTTCCTTGCATGTTTTATGTGTTTCCTGCGAGAATTTGTTAAATGCCAGAATGACGGGAATTCTGTGATTAATGAAGATGATGAAGTCCACATTCTGCTAAAAGTGCGCACGTTTAATAAATACCCATATTAGCAGTTTTATTTAAAACACACGTGTAAACTACTCTCAACTCTAAACAAGACACTAGAAAATATCTAATGTTTAATTTTGAACATCTATGTTTCTGAGAGATTTTTGGTCAAAAGCAGAGATGTTTAACCCTTTAAAGCCTGATCCAAGAATAAAACAAAATAGAAAATTTTTTTTTTTTTGGTTTGAATTCCTTATTTGCCCTTTTAACAAAATATGTAAAAAGAAAAAACAGAAATACATTTTTGATATTAATAATTTATTACTATGCTACCAGTGTAGTCTTCTACTGGCTGTTATCAGGTATATCTGATTGTGTACAATAGGATTTTGAGCAAAGTTTTAACCATTAAATTATGCAAAAGGTGTCAGACGCAAAACATTTCAGAAACCGTATGTATCAATAAGATACATTTTGGTATTATAGGGTTAATGTGACTGCTGGGCCTGCTTGTTTGAACAGAACAGCATCTTGGCTTCACGTTAGAAAACAGCTACACAGAGATCACTCTCAACTCTGAGGAGATCTGCATTTGTTTTTCATGTGTATCACCACTGAAAACGTCTTTTCAGACAGATATGCGGATGGAAACAGTTGGTGTGCAGCTTTTGGCAGTGCTGCGTATTCTGCTGCTACAGACAACCCAGAAAGCTGTCTGTGATGTGGGATCAGAGGTGAGATGGAGCGGGGGGTCCTGTAGCACTAATGGTGGTAACCTCTTAAGGTGAGAAGCAATAATTTGTTTCATAGTTTGAATGGTTAATGTCGTACTTCTCCATAAATGTCATGAACCGAGGACAGATGGACCCAGTATTCAAGGAGAGACGGTCAGTAGGAAAGTTCAAAACGTTTATTAACAAAACAAAAACTAAAGTGGAGCTGTGGCTCGCGGACACTG